ATGATGTAGCTCTATTCAAAGGCATTTCGACAAAGAGCTTGTTCTTTTTGCTCATCAGTGCAGAGGTTTCAAGGGCATGTGAGCAGCAGAGACTCTATCCATTTTGGTAGAGCACAGAGCACTATCTGATTCACCTCCTACCTTCCAGGGTGCTGCGCTGGGCCTACGTTCTACTTTTGAGTCAAAAAGGATGTAAGTTAATGGATAAACACTTCACCTTCCCCCAAATTATTCCAGCTTCCCTATTTCTGTCACCAGTGGTCCCATGCTCTCAGCACTAAGGCTGGAAAACTAATAAGAGTCACCTTTGATTCCTCCCTGTCTCTTGGCCCCTGAAAATCAACCCACCTATGACCTGGAAAGGCTCTGAGCAGAGTCTTTAAGAGCTGCACAGATCTGAGATTCAATCTTACCTCTGTTGTTTGCCAGCTAAATGCTTCTGGGTAACTCATGGAGCCTCTGAGCCTCATAGCGTTGATGTGAGGATTAATAGCTATAAAATGCTTGACACGTGCCCTAGAATATAGTGAATTATGTCCAGATTCCTTAACACTAAAAATCATTCACAGCTTGGCCCCAACCTTCCTTCATAAGTCACCTTCCCTTTACCCAGTGCTCCAGCCAAGTTGAATATTTGTATGTAATGTTTTTGATGTTCACTTATCTCTTATTTTCTGTTATCATTTTCTTCTTCCTGCTCCACCTCACACCACACTTCCCTATTGAAACTCTAATACCTCACAAAGCCCAGATCAAATCCTGGATTTCTCAATGAAGTCCTTGTGTCACACCAGGCAGAAGTGACCTACAGTCTTTCCTGAGTGGTAGTTTCCTTGTGGCCTTCATCTCAGCTCTCTCATTTTGACCATGTTTCAATCTCTTTCTCCCCAGATGTTTTCCCGTGTGACACATGGACATATGTGTAAATTAATCATCAGAGAGAGAGAGAAAAGAATTGTTTTGTTTTGGAGAAAAGCTATTCCTCTTAGTCATTTAAAAAAAAAGTTAATAATCCCAAAATTTTGCAATTTTTTGAAGGATGTTAACCCCAGAGCAGTTAGCAACACTTGTTTGTGCAGTGGACAACAATGAGAACACGGTCAACTATTCAATGGGAAGATACACGGCTGTGTGCCTGAATGAGTCCAAGAAGGAGAGAGGGATTACTGGGCTATCATCGGGAAAAACAATAGACTTGATAAACTGAATCATTTTTTTCTTTGAATCAATTACCTCTAAGCTTGAAAGAATAGAAAACTTTTCCAAGTAAGGTCCATTGTCAGTTGGTATAATATGACAGTGATGGGCTCTCCCTTTGACCATTTAACAAGTGTCATGTTGTTCCAGTGGCAGGTCAGAAATGCAGCTTCCTTTTTAATTAGCCAAACTGGTTCAAGGGAAAACTGGTCACAGAGAAAACCTACCAGGGATGCTTTGTGTTTCCCTTTGTGTTTCTATTCTTGTCATCTGACAAAGGAGGCTCTTGCTTCGTATTCCTCTCAAGTGGCCCTAGAAGAAAGCTGTGGAGAAAACACAAATTTCTATTAAAAACTGAAAAAATAGCAATTACAGCAGCATCTCCAGGCTGGGCATTGTGTAAATAAGCAGGGATTTTTTCCTGCGGGAGGCACTGAGAGCCAGGCACACAGGAACAAGAAGAGGAGAGCAGCCCCTGGCAGGCATGCAAACTTACAGGCAGAGGAAGGTCTATGAGGGTTTGATTTCCATGTAATGTTTTTTGTGATTTTCTATTTTGTTTGCCATTGCTTAAGACAAAAATATAATTGTGCATTTTCATGTGCAAATGCTTTCAAATATTTTAACTCAAACAAACACAAAATTCAGAATTATCTTGGGACAGACACAAACCCCAGGATGTCCTGACATTGGCCCAGCATGTCCTTCAAACATGTGTTTGTGCACACATTTACAAAGCAGCGCAGGTTTTCTTTCTTTACCTTCTCTCAGGCTACAAATTTACTTTACTACTGGTTCTTAGGACCAGAGGTGACTTTCTTGACAAAATGGCAGTATCTATTTTGCTTATGATTAGCCTGCAAAGCTGCAAATACTATTGAACAACAAAATGAAAACCTGATTCTTGGAAATGACCATGATTTCAATCAAGTGAAAAGTAAAAATGAATGAACAATCTGCCATATAATTCTAACTATAGAGGAGATTATTTAAATAATAAGAGAGTTCTAAGTACAACTACATATCAATAAATTTTAAAATCAACATGCATTGTTTGATTATCTAAGAAAATATATGAAATTGATTCAAGGAGAAGCAGAAAATTTAAATTGATCAATAACTTGAAAAATTCATATAAGTGATCTATCTATCCATCCCTAAAAATGCTTCAGTGCTAGATAGTTTATAACTGCCCTACTACGTCTGCCAGAAGCCAATTCTTTGTTATGTAAACTGTTCTGGGACATAACTAAATATGTAAAGCTTCCCAATTCATAGTGAAAATTAGTGCAACTCTAGTACCAATATCAGTCAAGATTGTGACAACCTCACTTGCAAACATAGCTGCCAAGACCCTAAATAAAATAGTAGCAAATAAACCCAGTGCTGTTAAAGAATAACAAATCGAAACCAAGGAATTTTATATCAAAACTACCATTTTGCTTCACATCCCCACCTGATTTTCTGCATCTCTGCCAACACAGGGGAGTGGTAGGAGAAAACTGTTTTTCTTGTTTGATTGTGTTGTTGTTTTTTCCTGAGGCAGACATACAAATGTGTCATTAGTACTTCAAATGTTTAAATGTCAAATAAAAACGTTTTAGAGTAGTAATGAACTCATAATATCTCAGTCAGTTCAAGGCAAAATTATGAAATAAATTTCATCTTTGGATCCTCCAGCCATTTATTGGTGCTTCCTTTCCCTCTTTCTAGAGTCCTTTAATTCTTCAAGCTGAGCACACAAGGATTGGGATATGGACAGGTGGGCAGCCATTTCCTCCCATCAGTTATCCAAACAAACTGCAAAGTTCTGGCACACAATTTCATTTCAGGCTCTTTGACAAACAACATCATATATACCCATGTCTCCACCTTCCCACACTAAAATCCTTTAGATTTTACTATACACCTTCCTTTCCCTCTCCTCAACTGTGTTTCTAGGATAGCCTGGTAATCTTATATTTGAGGATAAATGTATTTGCTGCCTCCGAAGAATTTCATCTGACATGTGACCTCTAATTAGGCAGTGAAATTTAGGCATCTGCAGGACAAATAAGTCAGATGTGTAAGGAATTCCATTTGATGCCTGATTTCTGAATTCTAAAACGGCTCAGATGTTATCCTGATTCTTCAGCCTGCTAACAGCTTGGTATATAATAATGTCTTTCAGACTATAACCATCCCTGGCTTAAAGAGTAAAAAAGTTAGGCAAGCCAGCCAGCATGGCTCAGTGGTTGAACATTAACCTATGAACCAGAAAATCACGGTTCGCTGATCAATGATTCTCTCTCATCATTGATGTTTCTCTCTCTCTCTCCCTCTACCTTCCTCTCAGAAATCAATAAAAAAACAACAACACTTTTTAAAGTTAACCAAAAATTCACTTCTGACCCCAGGTTTTTAATCCAGGGCACCTCAAGTTTTCTTCCCATGAGTGCAGAGCAGATAAGAGGTGCCTCTCACCTCCCAGGAGCATCAAGAGCTATTTGAGGCAATGTCCACTGGCACTTTGGCCAAACTATGGTTGCACAGAAGCAGATTTCTGTGGAAATCTTATGGAGTTGGGGCACTTTCCACTGAATGGGTCTTACCAGAAGTCTCAACTGTGACCCATGAGCCAAACACAGTACATAAATGGATCTTGTCTGGCTCTCTATATTTTTTACGTTTTTTAGTTCAAGTGCCTGTGAAGGCACTTCATCTCGAAATCTCTGCCCTATAATCATCCCAGGACATAAACTGATACAAAAGAATTAGACAACACACAGTGCTCATATGGTCTTTTTCCTTCCCCTCACTGTTTCCCAAAGATTAAGGCACAAGACAAAAAGGTGAGATCTATTGAGTTTCAGCCACAGCTGTCCTTCTATCTAGTTGTTGACCTTAAGCATTGGGTCTTTTTCTCTGGGCATTAGACCAGAAAATTACTAAGGCAACTAATAGTTTAACAGTTTATGGTTCTGTGTCCGTTTTATCCACCATAGTAGAAAAACTTAGAATTATATATTAACAAATTCTATGAAGTTTACTCCCTATGTAGTTGGAAATAGGCAAGAACTATTATTTTCCCATTTACAGACAGGAAACTCAATGCCTAAAGTAGTTGAATACAATAGTAATTGAATGTATCTATTTTAAAAATCTTTTGGCTTCCTTAAATAGCTTCCCTCTGACTTGGAAAAAAAGTCTTTATTGTTCTTAAGCATTATTTGGGGACTTTGTGTTAATCTATGTTAATCTATCATGTATTAATCCTTCCCCAGAAAATAATTTTCTCTACTAAATTATTCTCAAGATGTTTCAAGGTTATTGAAAGAACAGAGGCATCACAACATTAAAACCCTTGAGTAACAATTGCTGAGAAGTAAGTGTAGGGATGGCTATATTGCACACATACATACACACGCATGCATATTGACACGTAACAGGGCCATTTACTGAAGGGCATACTGACTCACTATTTTTAAACACTTAATTACTCATCTCATCATTTACATTATGGCTTACACATTTCTGTAAATACAGCAAGTTTTCACTTTACAACTGAAAGGTTAGAAGAGGACATTTTCCTTGGTTTCTGGTTTCTCCTCATTGTCGCTTAATCAATGCAATTACCTAACATGGTCTCTGCTAGGAGGCTGCTGAGGCACCTCCCTCTCAGTGAACTTTCTGTGTATGCTTTCCCTGTGGTTAAGAATCTGCCTTAAAGATGTTGAAATAGTCTGCGTTCAGATATGGTCTCGATGATTTAATTTCTCTTGGGAGGAAAAATGCATTGCTAATGGCCACGTCTCACATTGCAGATTACAGTATTTCGGATGGGATCAGAAGGACACCAGGACATTGATTTAGCTATCCTGACAGCTTTGCTCAAAGGTAAGAGTTTCTGTGTCCAGAGAGTGCAAAAGTAATTTAAATCAATTAACATAGCAGCTTTATGTACTATGTGGATATAAATAGTGGATATAAATCCAAATGATACCGTGACACATCCTATCATGGATAACATAAGGACCTCTCCTGTAAGATACTGTTACTGCTATTAAATTTTTCTATAATGCAGCTGTTATTGAATGACTCAAGTTCATAAAATTTAAGTATACTACAATTCAGTCATGTCCACTGAGTCATAAAACTACATAAAGTAACAGGCTACTGTAATATGTAAGAAACTGAGTTACTGAAGCTATTTAATAATTATTGCCCTATCTACTTTTAAAAATCACTTAATATGGCATAGATAGATAGATAGATAGATGATAGACATAGAGATATCATAATATATTAAAATGGAAAATTTCTAAAACCATTTAGAGCAAGAGAGAAAGAAATAAAAAAAGTAGGCTACTGTACTTTTTATAATTGAACATTATAAAGTGTATCATGTGTCCCAGGTTGAGAACCTCTGCTCTAAAGCATTTGATACCAGTGAACTAAAAAATATATACATGCAGAAGAATTAAGGGACCATGCATGGCTTGAAGCACAAAGCAAACCCTGGGCCCCCTTCTCCATTTATGAGACAAAATTAAAAGTTTGAGGCAATTAACTCTCTGATATCTGCTAATCCTATATAATAAAAGGCTAATATGCAAATTGACCAAAGGGAACGACCAGTCACTATGATGTGCACTGACCACCAGGGGGCAGACACTCAATGCAGGAGCTGCCCCCTGGTGGTCAGTGCACTCCCACTGGGGAGTGCTGCTCAGCCAGAAGCCCTGAGTTGGGCTCACGGCTGGCGGCTTAGGCGGGCCTAAACCATCAGTCAGACATCCCCCAAGGGCTCCCAGACTGTGAGAGGGCACAGGCCTGGCTGAGGGATGCCCCTGAGTGCACAAATTTTGTGCACTGTGCCTCCAGTCTTATATAAAACTAAGAAAACATAATAAAACTGATAGCTAACACTTAGGATTTGTTAAGTGCCCAACACTGTGTTAGATACATTTGATGTATAAATTCATTTAATCTGACCAGTTCATTACAAGGCCCATTTTATAGAGAAATTGAGGCACAGATTTAGTAACATGCCTAAGGTCAGACAGCCTGACCTCATAGACCTCACTTAAATATACCTTCAAGGCATTCCAATCCCATTGGTAATAAGATATGGAACATCATATTTATCACCTTGAACCAAAATGAGGAAGTGGCTCAATTATTTAAACACTAGGGGCCCAGTGCACAAATTCGTGCACCTTGAAAGGAACTGTGGGCCACGAGGCTGCGGTGGGCACAGGGGCGGGTCTCAGCCCATCCTCCATGCCCCCAACAAGCCCCTCCCACCGTGGACCCTGGTCCCCTGTCTGCCAGCAGCCTTGCTCCCACGCACTGATGGCACCGGCCCACTTGCAGCCACTGAGGGTGTGAGGCGATTGGGGCCTGCGCCAGCAGCGGGTGTGAGCAGTAGCTGCTGCCCCAATTGCCCCTCAGGAGCAGGGGGAGGTGGAGAAGCCCTCAGGGGCGATCGGAGCCGGCAGCCACTGCTCGAACCAGCTGATACAGCCAAGTGATCGGGGCTAGCGCCGGGTGCCAGCAGCAGGTGCAAGTGGTGGCTCCAGCGCCTAAAGTGGGTGCAAGCAGGGCTGGCTCTGGTGCGAGTGCCCAGTGAGACTGTGGCTCATAAGAGCAAAGAATTTTCAGTAACCACCAGAGGCTCGCCCAGATGACAGCGACCGGTGCCCCACCTGGGTCTGGCGCCCCCACTCCCCTGCTCCACATCCTGCCACGGCCGATGCCCAACATGTTCTGCGCTCTGCCATCTGCTGCCAACACCCGCCATGTTCCACGCACATCCCCTGGTGGTCAGCGAGTGTCATAGAGACCGGTTGTTCGGTTGTTCCGCCGTTCAGTCTATTTGCATATTAGGGTATTATATAGATGGATGGATAGATAGATAGATAGATAGATAGATAGATAGATAGATAGATAGATATTAGCTATTGTCCTGGCCAGTGGGCTCAGTGGTTAGAGCATGAGCCCCATGCACCAAAGGGTCTCAGGTTTGATTCCTGGTCATGGACACATATCTGGGTTGCAGGTTCGATCTCCTGGTCCCAGTTGGGGTGTGAGCAGGAGTCAACCAATCTGTGTCTTTCACATCGATGTTTCTCTCTCTTTTTCTCTCTCTCTTTCTCCTTCTCTCTTTCTCTTTCCCTCCCCCTAAATCTCTCCCATCTACTCTCTCTAAAAAGCAATGAAAAAATATCCTCAGGTGAGGATTTTATATATATTAGCCATCATATTATCATCCATTGAAAATATTTTCTTCCTCTTTCAATATTTTGTGATTTAAAATTGCACTTCTCCTTTAAATCAGTCTTAGAATTTATTTGTTGTAATGTTTTCTGATTGTTTTGTTCATAACAGAGCATAGGAATATATTTTATATTATAACCAAGTAGTTACACATACGTATTTAGAAAACTGAAATTAAGGTATATAAGATAATGTTTACATAGACTTTGGATAATGAAATTCTATATTTTTTATTATCTTTAATGTGATTATATCCCACTGAATGGATTTCATGACCCACTATTAGGTCATAACCTGAAGTTTACAAAACACTGCCATAGAAGATTAAAGGAAATTATGATTGCTCTAAAAATTAACATTTTAATCACTATAATGAACCTTATTTATGTAGCAATTGATGCTAATGGGAATTTATGCTGTTAAAAGATTATGGTGTGTCAACTCTATTTTGCAAAGGCTTTTAAATGCTCTCTGATTTTGACCCAGTTGGTTTGTGAAGTATATCAAGCATATACTTTTGCTGACTTTCTTAGAGGCCAAGAGCATACTTATATGAGTTGCGGATTCTTTAGTTTGTTAAATTATTCTTCCTATGTATTTTGTATTATGCCTGAGCATGTAATGTTGTTTAAACTTAATTGTTCTACAATAATATTTAGTTTTCAATTATCTAATGCATGAGGAATCTTTGTATAGCACACTTCTTATTCTCTCCATCATCAGAGAAAACCAGAAGTTAGATAGGAGAAGCAGGAGAGAGCTGTGAAACTAACCACTGGTTGGTCCATAAATCCAGAGCCCGTGGGGCATGGGGGGAGGGAAGATAGAAAACCAGGTGGCTTTGGGGAAAGTCTACCTTTGCTGCCCCTTGTTTCTGATCCCATTGGGTTTGATTTTCTTCCGAATCTGTATGTATTAAAGGATACTGTTTATGATACAGACTTATTGAGTATCTGTTCAAAAATGAAGAGAGAAAGAGAACAAAATGAATACTGTCACAGAGATCTGAGGCCCATACCTTCTGCAAATGATAGCCTGAGGTAGCTTTGAGAATAGGTGACATCACACATGTCATTCACATTAAGTAACCATTCTCCGAGAGTTGTGGTCTGAGGCTGGAGACTGTACACCCTTCTTCTCCTTTTCCCTTCTCCCCTCCCTAGCCACACACACCCAGGGGAATCTAAGGAGATGGCGCAGGGTACAGTTGCCAGAAAAAACACAGCACAATGAACATCCAGATAAAAAACCAATTTTTGAGCATAATCATGTCTCAAATATTGCATGGGGCATAGTTACACTAAAAAAAAATTGTTCATTATTTATCTGAAATTCAGACTTAACTGAGAGTCCTGTATTCTTACTTGCTAACTCAGGCTACCCTACTCAGAGGAGGTCTGACACCTTGAGAGTTTCTATGGGAAATGTATTCAAGAATCTACGGAGGGTAAAGAGATTAACCAAAAAATATATATACATAACACATTGATATAGACAATACTGTGGTGCTAGCCAGAGGGAAAGGAGGTGGGGGCTTAGTGGAGTTGGGCAAAGAGGGGGAAATGGGGTGGAAAGAGACTTTGCTTGGGGTGGTAAGCGTGGCACAGTGTGTAGATGATGTTTTGTTGAGTTGTACATTTGAAACCTGTATGGTTTGCAAAATGTCACCCCAATAAACTCAATTAAAAAAAAAGAATCTAGGAAGGTCACCTAGTTTCTCTGTCTGCCAGGCCCTGCCTACATAATAGCAACCAGAAAAAAAACTTCCACTGGAAAAGACCCTAAACTTATCCTAAACTATCAGATGTTGCCAACAGCTCTCTCAGTCACCTCATACTATCTGTGTCTCTCACACAGCAGCATAAATCTCTTGATCCAGGTTCAATGAAGCCAGAAAACATCTGCTCATAGCAGAAGTTGTAAGTAGTGTTTGACCCTTTCTGTGGATAAAATTACTCCCAATTTTTTCTTTTTCTTTTTTCTTGTATACCTTGGATTTGACCTTGGAAATCAAATAATGTGGGTGTACACTCTCATACTAAAATATAATATTGCTGTCCTTCCTAAATGAGAAATTCTTTTTCTTTGAGTTTAATCTTCATTGGTAAAGAAGTTCATCTGCAGCACAGGGAGAAAGTAACCTTTACTGCTTGCTTCTTTTTCTGGAAAACAATTTAAAAGAGCTAAAAGAAAGTTCAAAACAATATGCTCCTAACTGTCCAGATCATCAAAACAAGGAAATTCTGAGAAATAGTCACAGCCTGAGGAGATATGACGACTAAATGTAATGTGGTTTCTTGGATATGATCTTTGAGCAGAAAAGGGAAAGTATTAAGTTAAAACACTAAGAAAATCTGATAGAAAAGGAGAAAGCATCTTATGGAATCCTATATAATAAAACCCTAATATGCAAATTGACCGAGGGCAAGCGCTCAATGCAGGAGCTGCTTCCTGGTGGTCAGTGTGCTCCCATAGGGGGAGCGCTACTCAGCCAGAAACTGGGCTCACAGCTGGTGAGTGCAACGGTGGGCCTAAGCTGGCAGTCAGACATTCCCCAGTGCTGCAAGAGAGTGCAGGCCAGGCTGAGGGAACCCCCCACCTCCCATTGCATGAATGTC